TATATATATATATATATATATATATATATATATATATATATATATATATATATATACTTGTGAATGGGATCGTAGTTTGTCAGGATCGGAAAGTCATTTGTCTAAGTTTTGTTTGAGAGAATAGGAAACTACAAAGGGATCGACCCTGGCATTCTCACATGATGAGCAAAGTAAACACAAAGTCATTTTCATAGTTAGTTAAGCGTGGAAGACTGTCCGAGAAATCGACCTGATTAGATGAGTTAGCACCTCGGGGCTCGACATACGGGTCAGTCTTAAGGCGTTCTACCGCGCGTATGCCTATGCTACGGCGATCAAGAAAACGCCCTCGGCTGACCTACCTCTGCGATTGCATATAAAAGCCTTCCTATGTGGGTCAGTAGTTCAACAAGGATATGCCCACCTAAGGGATGGTGACAGCTCCCGCAGGTGGAGGTATGTTGTACCTCGCGGGACCCTAACTTGTCCTAGGGAGTCGCGAGAGGTATAACACGCGCGCACGGTCGGAGTTGGTATTTCGCTAAAGAGACAAAGAAACTCCTGCGTGACACGACCGTGAGGTCTAACACCAAAAACTTACTTTGCGTCTGGGTGTGAGACCGCCGCGCGCGACAGCGGTGAGCGCCAAGAGAGGAAGAAGGCAGTGGGAGAGAAGGAGGAGTAGGAGAGGAAGAGGAGCAGGCGGGGAGGAGGAGCAAGCGAGGAGGAGGGAAGAGGTTCACAGGGAAGACTATGAGGAGGAGGAGGAGGAGGAGGAGGAAGAGTAGGAAGAGTAGGAGGAAAGGGTCGACGCCAGCGAGGAGGAGGAGGTGGAGGAGGAGGAGGAGGAGGAGGAAGAGTAAAATAGGAACAAGAGGAGGAGGGAAGTTTTTTTTTTTTTTTTTGCAATCAATTAATCAATCAATTGATTGATTGATTGATTGATTCCATCGGATCTTGAAATCGATCTGCAAGTTCTGGGATTTTTTTTTTATTATTATTATTTTTTTGATTGGTTGGTCGACAAACGAAAAAAAAAAAAAAAAAAGTCCGCCATCTGGCGTTGTGTAGATAGGATCTGCCATTTGTAGTCTGTGCGGTGAGCGCCAGGTGGGCGGTGAGCGCCAGGAGAGGGAGGAGGCGGTAGAAGAGAAGGAGGAGTAGGAAGAGGAGGAGGAATAGGCGAGGAGGAGGAGCAGGCGAGGAGGAGGAGCAGGCGAGGAGGAGGGAAGAGGTTGACAGGGAAGACTAGGAGGAGGAGGAGGAGGAAGAAGAGTAGAAGAGAAGGGCCGACGCCGGTGAGGAAGAGTAGGAAGACTGTTATTTGGTGTATTTTGAGTTGCTCTTCTGCTCTCCGTTCGAGGTCGTGATTATCTGCGGTCATATGTATGATGCGGTATGGTTTCTAGAGTTCACTATCACGCTTATTCACGAAAAAAAGAAATATCCAATCGGTTCGATTGAATCTTGATTTCGAAATCAAGATCAAAGCGAATCGATTGAATCGGTTGATGATCAATATGCAATTCGATTTGTTTCATTTCATTCGTTTTTTTTTTTGACATATAGACTGATTGATTGATTGATTGATTGTTTGATGGGCTCGGACTATCCAATCGAATTAATCGACTCGATCGGATCGTGAAATCAAGATCCAATCGAATCAATCGAGTCGATCGGATCGTGAAATCAAGATCCAATCGATTCGTTGTTTTTTTATTGATTGATTGATTGGCTGATTGAACGATTGATTGTTTCAGAGTATCCAATGGAATAAATCCATTCGAATGGATTCCACTCGAATGTACCTGTTCCTGTTCCAACCTTTGATTGATTTCATTGGAATGGATTTATTCCATTGGATCTTGATTGATTGGATGTTCCTGTTCCAACCTTTTTCCTTCATTGATGGATTGATTGTTTGATCGACTGATCGGTTTGTTGGAAAAGGGGGTCCACCATCTAGCCGACATCTGCTCGCAGTCGGGGAAGCTGCTGACGTCACCGACTGCGCTTACGTAGTCTAGATAGGATCTCTCATTGAATGTCGTACTGATCAATAGCAAGATACATCGCTGATTAGTGTCGTCTAACATTGTGGAGGGCCGAGCTTTGACACGTTCATTGACACTTCGTTAACTTACATGTTTCATTGTCCATTGTTTGCCAGTATAAAAGGCGGAGCTGTGACGAGGGCGAAGCGTCGACGAGGCTACTACATAGCGCCGACCCAATTGTGTAACTGCATCGCCCATCAACCGTCGTTGTGATATATCCGTTTAAGGTCACCACCACGACCATTCAGCGCAACCATCCAGCACCCCATCGGGACGGCCTCCCGCAGGCGGAGATGGCATCCAAAGGTATGTTATGCAGGCCTTTTTTTGTCTGTGTGTTGTGGCTTTCCATTGTTTGTTTTTTATTCCATCGTCAAAACGGCGGACCCTCCGTAAGAGTTGTTGTGGTTGCAGCAGCTGCTGGTGCTCTCTCTAGGCCCATGTCTTCCCTTCGATGGTCCGGCGTCGTCAAGGCACCAGACCATCGGATGGTCCCGTGTCGTCGAGGCGCCGGACCATCGAGGCGTCGGTCACAACAGCTATTGGTGCTGCTCATCCCACTGTTGCGGCAGCTGCTGTGGTTGGAGTTGTTGCGGTTGCAGCAGCTGCTAGTGCTCCTGCTGGGTCCTCTGCTGGTGTAGCTGTTGTGCCCCTGTCTTCCCTCCGATGGTCCGGCGTCGTCGAGGCGCCAGACCATCGAGGCGTCCGGCACAGCAGTTGCAGACGCTGCTGTTCCCACTGCGATTGCAGCAGCTGTTGGCGCTGCTGTTCCCACTGTTGCTGTGACATCTAAGTAAGGGTTGGAGTAGATGGCACAACTGCTTTGCCCCTGTCTTTCCTCCGATGGTCCGGTGTCGTTAAGGCGCCAGACCATCGGATGGTCCAGCATTGTCGAGGCGCCAGACCATCAAGGCGCCCGGCACAGCAGCCGCAGACGCTGTTGTTCCCACTGTTACTCTGTCATCTAGGTAAGGGTTGGAGTAGATGTTGCGGTTGGAGTTGTTGCAGTTGCAGCAGCCGCTGGCGCTGCTGTTCCCACTATTACTTTGACATCTAAGTAAGGGTTGAAGTAGATGGCACAGCTGTTGTGGCCCTGTCTTCCCTCCGATGGTGCGGCGTCGTCAAGGCGCCAGACCATCGGATGGTCCGGCGTCGCCGAGGCGCCGGACCATCGAGGCATCGGTCACATCAGCTGCTGATGCTGCTCATCCCACTGTTGCTGCAGCTGCTGCAGTTGGAGTTGCTGCGGTTGCAGCAGCTGCTGGTGCTCCTGCTGGGTCCCTCTGCTGGTGCAGTTGTTGTGCCCCTGTCTTCCCTCCGATGGTCCGACGTCGTCAAGGCGCCAGACCTTCGGATGGTCCGGCGTCGTCGAGGCGCCGGACCATCGAGGCGTCCGGCACAGCAGTTGCAGACGCTGTTGTTCCCACTGCGGTTGCAACAGTTGCTGGCGCTGTTGTTCCCACTGTTGCTGTAACATCTAAGGGTTGGAGTAGATGGCACAGCTGCTGTGCCCCTGTCTTCCCTCCGATGGTCCGGCGTCGTCAAGGCGCCATACCATCGGATGGTTCGGCGTCGTCGAGGCGTTGGACCATCGAGGCGTCGGTCACAGCAGTTGTTGATGTTGCTCATCCCACTGTTTCTGCAGCTGCTGCGGTTGGAGTTGCTGTCATTGCAGCAACTGCTGGTGCTCCTGCTGGGTCCCTCTGCTGGTGCAACTGTTGTGCCCCTGTCATCCCTCCGATGGTCCAGCGTCGTTAAGGCGCCAGACCTTCGGATGGTCCAGCGTCGTCGAGGCGCCGGACCATGGAGGCGTCCGACACAGCAGGTGCAGACGCTGCTCTTCCCACTGCAATTGCAGCAGCTGCTGGCGCTGTTGTTCTCACTGTTGCTGTGACATGTAAGTAAGGGTTGGAGTAAATGGCACAACTGTTGTGCCTCTTTCTTTCCTCCGATGGTCCGACGTCGTAAAGGCGCCAGACCATCAGATGGTCCGGCGTCGTCGAGGCGCGAGACCGTCGAGGCGTCTGGCACAGCAGCTGCAGACGCTGCTGTTCCCATTGTTGTTGTGCCATCTAAGTAAGGGTTGGAGTAGATGCTGCGGTTGGAGTTGTTGTGGTTGCAGCAGCTGCTGGCGCTGCTGTTCTCACTGTTGTTGTGACATCTAAGTAAGGGTTGGAGTAGATGGCACAGTTGTTGTGCTCCTGTCTTCCCTCCGATGATCCGGCGTCGTCAAGGCGCCCGACCATCGGATGGTCCAGCGTCGTCGAGGCGCCGGACCATCGAGGCTACCAGCAGAGCAGATGCAGACGCTGCTGTTCCCACTGTTGTTGTGCCATCCAAGTAAGGGTTGAAGTAGATGTTGCGATTGGAGTTATTGCGGTTGCAGCAGCTGCTGGCGCTGTTGTTCCCACTGTTGCTCTGACATCTAAGTAAGGGTTGGAGTAGATGGCACAGTTGCTGTGCCCTTGTCTTCCCTCCGATGGTCCGGCGTCCTCAAGGCGCCAGACCATCGGACGGTCCGGCGTCGTCGAGGCACCACATCATCTGATGGTCCGGCGTAGTCGAGGCGCCGGACCATCGAGGCTATCGGCAGAGCAGATGCAGACGCTGCTGTTCCTTTTGTTGCTGTGCCATCCAAGTAAGGGTTGGAGTAGATGCTGTGGTTGGATTTGCTGCGCTTGCAGCAGCTGATGGTGCTCCTGCTGGGTCCCTCTGCTGGTGCGGCCGCTATGCCCCTATCTTTCCTCCGATGGTCTGGCGTCGTCAAGGCGCCAGACCATCGGATGGCCCGGCGTCGTCGAGGCGCCAGACCATCGAAGCGTCCGGCACAGCAGCTGCAGACGCTGTTGTTCCCACCTGTGCCATCTAAGTAAGGGTTGGAGTAGATGCTGCGGTTGGATTTGCTACGGTTGCAGCAGTTGCTGGTTCTCCTGTTGGGTCCCTCTATTGGTGCAGCTGCTGTGCCCCTATCTTTCCTCCGATGGTCCGGTGTCGTCGAGGCGCCAGACCATCGGATGTTCCTGTACTGCTGACTATCGGCAGCTTGCTGTTGTCACTGGTTTTGGACGCCTTTCACCGCCCCTTCTTCTTAACCTCCGTTTGTTCCGTTTGTTACGTCGGTGTCGGATGCGGTGTTATGCAGATGCTTGCTCCTCAGGGGTCTCTACGCCGAAGGTTGTCGGAAGGGCGGTCACGTTCCAAGAGAAGTATTGGGCAATCGATTGGCACCTCGGTATGAAAATCCCCTGTTGTGGGCCAGTTATTTTTTTGCGGAATGAGAGTAGCGGTTACTACCCATGCGGGGGTATCAAGACTTACTCGTTTGATAAGAGCATGCTTGACGAGGAGTACATGAGATTCCATCTCACGACGTGTTTCAACATCGACGGTCATGAGGTGCCTGACAACTACAAGCTCATGTCTCTCCACGTCGAGAAGTTCCAAGGTTACAGCATCCGCGCTGCATCAATGTCTCCGTTCGACAAGTCGAAGAAGAAGGATGCGTCGCAGATAGTGATGCTCAGGTCGTTCGAGTTCCTCAAACGCGTTAATTGCTATAAGGTGTCGAACCATATCGTGACGATTGACAACAACCTGCAGTTGTCAACTCCCTTCGTGCCCTTCGACTGTGATCTTGGAGATTTCGCAGACATGGTGCGACGTAACAAGCTGCAGGCGATGGGCCAACTATTTTGCGAACCACCGTCTCTGTGAGCTCGCCAAAGGCGGTAGGCAAGAGTTGTGGGGAGCCGAAAACATCCGCCCGTATGAGCAAAAGTGAGGTAGCATCGACACAGGCAAAGAGCGTGAGCAAATCAGCTTCTCTGCTCCGGCCGAAGGGTGTGTCTGCGACGCGGGCACCATCACATGCAGAATATGCGGCACGCGTTTCTTTGACTCCGGCTGGCACTGGCCATGAGGATGACGACGAAAACACAGAGGAGGACTCGCGCTTCAGACAGTGGGACGGTGGGCAGTGGGCCGATGGCAATGACGTGAAAGACACAGAAGGGGACGACGCCGAACAACGGTTCCGCGACGGTGCACACGATGAAGAGGGAAGCTTGGAGGATGACTTGGCCGAAGACGATGGTAGTGAAGGCCAAGAGGATGGTGGTCACAAAGACGATGGGAGTGAAGAAGAAGAAAATGAGGATGCAAGTGACGAAGACGCCACAAAACGGGAAGACAACTACGAAGGGGGGAGCGAAGGAGATGAGGGTGGGGCGGACGACGACGACGGCGGGAATAGAGGGTCGCAGAAAAGGCAGGAACAGTCTTCCCATGCCACAAGTCATGACGGTCCATCAGAAGATGACGATGTGTTGCATGGCACACAGAGGTCTGTGTGCATGCGCAAGTGGAAAATGAGATGTGAGAAAGCAGAGAAAGAGAAGTGGAGACAAGCTAAGCTCATCAGCCTACAGGCCTCAAAGGAGGCTTACAATAAATCCTTAGAGGCCCAATCCGCTAAACCAACAAAGGAAAAACGTGTACGAACTCGATCTTCCCAGAGACCGAAGAAGAAAGCAAAGGCCGAGGAGAAAAAGGAAGTGGCGGACTCTGGGGACAAAGCGGCAGGGGTCGATCCGAGACATACAGCGTCAAAGCCGAGAGAGTTGACCAACGACACTATCGACACCACGAGATGTTTTTTCCTAGAATACGACGAGGACGGCAATGTGATAGATCGGCCTACCCAAGTGTTCGTTGACGTGGTCAAAATACTGTCCAACCCTTCGGAAGGCGTGCAATACAACCACAGGCCGTTGAACGAGATGTTTGTCACCTCCATCAGGGACGTAATGGAACACCCGGAAAAGCAGAAGGAGTGCGACAGAAACACGTGGATTCTTGCTCCTGTCGCTGAAGTGCAGAAGGATGACCGGAAACAGTGGGAATGCGTGAAGCCGGAAGAGTGGGATGATGACAAGGTTGCCTCCTACCATTGGTACACAGTCGCCGACCAATATACAGCGGAGGCAGCAAAGAGCCTGATCGATGCAAAATCGTCTGCTGACCACAAGTGGGGCGTGCATTATTGGAAGGCGCGGGTTGTGTATTTTGACGACGACCATTTGGAGGGGTATGCGTACATCTCCACGTTTGACAACACCAGGGAGACACGTGCTATCCCGTCGTCGTTTCAAATGGTTGTGACTACTATAAGAGGACTGAAAGAAAGGACTGTACAGCGGGGCCAATATCAAGAGTTTGTACGGAAATCTATATGGATGATTTCTGACACATCACTCTAGAACCAGTCGTTGGCGAAAAGATTTGTGAGGAATTGGTCAAGCCTTTTGAGGTCTTACATGTGTCTTGCGGCGAGCAGCAGAGTTGTGTGGAATCTGGTTGAAAAGTTCTTTGACAAATGGGAAAAAGGCGAACTTTCATGGCAGGACGGCGTGAGACCAGTGGATCAGGAAGGGAAAGCAGGCGAGGCAGCAGGACCGAGCCCTGCAGCGAAGACGGTGAAAGGCAAAAAGGTGTTGGTGCACTACGTCCAGTCCAACAAAAGTTCGTCGGGTTTTTATGTTTGCATCAATGATCCCTTCGCGAGCGCATGGAAGGTGTTCGACGATTTCACATCAAGGGAGAAGGAAATGACCCTCGAGAAAATACTTGCGGAACACGTTGTTGTCACGAGCGGAAGGACATTTGTGAAAAAACTGATGAACATGCAAGACCTATACGTGGAGGTGAGAAGGGAGAGATATATGATTCGCATGTTTAATTATATCCTCTTCAAGATAGAGCAGAGGTCGAAGGAGGAGTTGAATGACAAGTTCTTCTTTGGCTACGATACCATAATGAGGCTGTTTGCACTGCGAGGGTTGACGACGGAGAAATGGGAAGAAACCAAGTCCAAGATCGTAGCAGAGAAGACTATCAATGTCCCAAAATGATTGGGCGGCCTAGATGAGGCAAAACTAGGAAAAGAGAATGTCGGGAAGCACAAGGTGACGACTGCAATATATATAGTGTGTTCGTACTTCCTCAAGCTTTTCGTGCATGAGATTCTTGACGCAGTTGACCAATTGAGGGATGAGCTGAGGCGAATCAGCTCAAATGCTCAGCACATAATGTGGGACAAGCGCAAAGATCACACGACGTATCTTCCTGTCTGCATCACACCTATGGGACACACTGCACCCGGCAAAAGATTTGACTCGTGCCGTGAGAAAGCTGAGCTATCACCTTGCAGTATTGAACTTGGCTCCGTTGAGGAATCTCGACGCATGAAACGAGCAAAGGTTTCACGAGCTCCGCCAAACGATGACGGTGTTATGCGGGTCGCATTGGGCGCTAATCGTATTCAGTGCATTGAAAGTCGAGGAAATGGTGTTGAGGAACGTCTTCAGGTGAGACAGTATGAGAGTTCTTCCTGGGCGTTGGCATCGTTATAGCGAAGCAGCATCATCCTGTGCTCAAGTTGGGAACCTTCCGTTGAGAGGGCGCGACTTGTGTACGAGATATGGGAGAGGGAACCTGCGAAGATGAAAGACTTGTGTACCTGGTTTTCGAAGGAAGGGGAAGGTGTCCTGTTACTGGGCAACGTGCAGGCAGGAACAACGTGGGACTTGCTTCGCTCAGGATGTCATGTCATCGCATGCGATGGTTCCTCAAACCTGATGGAGTACTCCACTTTGTTTGTCGATTGTCACGTCCACAATCCGGATAACAGGTGTCACTTTGAACGACCGAAACCTCAACATTGTGCAGACCGAGACATGTTCCTGAAGCTCAGCGTGGAAGAGGGACTCTCTGTGGAGCTATCTGTTCTGCAATGCACCCACAACACCAACAGATGCAGATTATCTGTACCGTAAGGTGACAGCGATCCAACATCTGCAAGGATATCACAACGTCAAACGAGGGGTTCAGTGCGGCAGAGCATGAAAAGGTTCCAAGCACGGCAAACAAGGAGAGGGGAGGAAAATGAGAAAGAAGAGGAGGCAGACAAGAGTCAGAGTGTGATCAACTTGGTGGACCAGTCAGGTGAGAACGAAGAAACATCTGACAAAGAAAAAGCGAAAGAGTCGGGAGAGGAGTTTCAAGAAAGAGAGCGTGATTTGAGTTAAGCGAGTGAGGGAATATGCGGTAGAAAAATAAAAGCAAGCAAGGAAAAAGAAGAATGCATAATGCGACGTTCAAAAAGAGGTAAGGAGAAGAAAACACATTACAACGTATAGTGCATGTGTGTACATGGGTGTCTTCCTACATTCACAGTCGATGGTAGATGTGTGTGTGTGTGTGTGTGTGTGTGTTACATTACCGATGAGGATGAGATTTTAAAGTATGAAACGATGAGTGTATGTCGGTCAAGTACATATTACATTTTGAGTACGCTTCGAGTTTTTGACATGAAAATAGAAGCGTGGAATGCACAAATTGTATATAGATTGTGTCGATCGAGAAAAAAACAGCAGTTTGTGTATCGAATTATGCTATTTCTGTATGGAGAGCGCGATACGAGTTCAAAAATTTTACATTGTTGCTATCTTCGGTGTATGTAATGATGAAGTTTTTTGTTTTTTTTCTCTCTCTCTCTCTCTCTCTCTCTCTCCCCCCCCCCCCCCCCCCCCACACACACACACACACACACACACACACACACACACACACACACACACGCATGCACGCACACGAACACATAATTGATAATGCAATGACTTCACACGTTAACAACAAGCAATCCCATTGTGGTGTGAACCAGGGTCATTGCTACAAGTCCAAGGCGAACGCCGATGTAAATACGGGTGGACGATTTAATTAGCAACGGTTGCTATCACCGAGTCGGAAGCAGATGCATTGCGGCAATGGGAAAATAAGTTCAACAATTACAAAACACTGTCAAACACCAAGAATGCAGTGACGTGAGAGAAGTTAAGATTCACGGTCCACGATATGAGTATCCTCATGAGTGGCACACGATGGTTAAACAATGACATTATAAACTTCTACAGCAATATGATAAAGGTTGACAAAATGTGCAGGATTTCCCATCGAGAGTGCGATACGCGATCTAACATGTACGCGAAGTACGCAACGGGTTTGATTCCGCGAACAACTGTATGTAACTTTTTTTTTTTTTAAACTCATGGATGACAACTTCAGATATCACTATGACAAAGTAGTTAAATGAATCAGAGAAGTATTGATCGCAGATACTGACTTGATTTTAGCCCCATACCATAATATTCATAAAAAGCATTGGACACTTGTTGCAGTAGACCTTCGACGAAAAGTTATAGAGTACTACGATTCGATGGAACCAAACTCCGACGTTGCAAAAAAGGTAGTCAATAACTTCGCGAGGTACGTGTACGATCGATCAACACAACAAGGAAAGCAAGTCAACACCAGACATTTCAAGAAGGTATTAGAGGTGGTTGGTATCCCGAAACAGAAAGACATTCATTAGTGTGGAGTATTTGTACTAGCATACGCATCTCTTTTGGCAAGAGGTCGGTTGCCACCATTTGAATTCGATATGCACGATATCCAACGCATTAGACGTCGGATCGCACTAGACTTAGTAACAACTAGAGAGGATGTGTAACATGCAACAGATTGTAGAGGAGATTGAAGGGGTTGAAAGGTGACAGTCATTGAATTGTTCGGTTGCAAGTCACTTATGGCAGTTTGCAAATGTACAATGTTATGTACAATATGGAATGCTTTGACCGACAGATCGCAAACGCAGCGACATATACATCAAACTTGTACGTAGTCACACAACATGTTGAGGTCTACATATGTATGGTGTATGTGAGGTCTGGATATGTATGGTCTATGTTGAGAGCAGAATGCAAAAAGGATGGAAACCAAGAATGTATCATATACCATAAGCATATGTATGGTGTATGCAGTATGATGTGCATATATATGGTGCATGCGGTATGATGTACCCCTAATGGTATATGGTACATGATAGTTCACCTACCATATATGGTGCATGTGGTACCATACGACTACAACCTACCATGGTCTACATATAAAGCCAGAAGTCACGATTTCGTAGGAAAATTTTGTACATTTTTCACTTAATTCAATTTCGCAATTTTAGAAAAAAATGTCAGTTTTAACGAAATGTCAGTTAGAAGAGGAGGCACAGGAGGAGGTGTTTTCCCTTAGGCTATCCGATGTGAACAAGGTCATGGATGTAGTGGCCACGCATGAGATGGTGGATCCAGACGCCATTCAGGCGTTGAGGGAACAAGTTCTGGAATGTCCCCAGGCTGGGGAAGTAGAGCTGGTCTATCGGCTTCCGGGGTGAACGAGGGTCGCGCCCCGTTTGTGCGACGCGTAGCTGATGCGCTCGATAACGTGATCATTCAGTGACATCTAATCTGTCAGCATTTGAACTGAACAACACAAATATCTTACATAAGTAGAAGCTCGTAAATGCTTCTTTATTATTACAGGAAACTACGCAGGAGTCACAAAAAAAGTTTGAAAATACACTTCAGGCAAAAAACAGTTTCAATTGGCACTCCGAGCAATGTTTTACAAACTAGCTTTGTCCAGTGGACCACGGATCAAATATTAAATTGATCATAACAAAATCAACAGATACTACACTTGATATTAGCCAAAAGGTCAAGAGTTCTTTATTTTGTATGATTTTTATCAGATGACCAGTCACCTCTTTTCCTTTTGGGCTATGCAAATGAAGAGTACTATCATGAGGGCTAGCCGCAGTTCTATGTGGACGAGGTGCAGTACCATGGGTGGAGACTGTGGAACATCATTAAGGCTAAAACGAAGTCAGTATTATTGAGGTCAGCTGGTATGTAACGCCTCAGAGTGACGATAAGAAATCCATAAAAAACGCATGAAGAACAAAGGTGAGCAAACCTGGTTTCTGAGAGATAAGTAAGGGCATACTCACACTACGACCGTGTCTTCTCAACTCTGGACATGATTGCAGTCAGATCCATCCAGGTCTTGTCGTCATTGCAGTTAGCTACATTTAAGAAAGTGACAGTGTTAGTATAGCAAAGTGTCATGGATGCAGTACTGCAGTGTCAGTTTCCATACGTGGCGTGGATCCAGTGCCAATATGTGATTTGGTTGCAGTGCTATCAGGGGTAGTTGCCCTCTTATGTTTGAGCGTTCTGTTGTCCGAATGGAGTATGTGTTAGATTAGTGATGTGAGGGGTAGGTGCATTATAGATGGTAGGCTCAAACACTTCAAGTTTTTGTTTTTCCCTTTTTGTTTTTAACCCCCCAATATTTTTTACCCTTCCCTTGCGAAGTCTGGAAACTCCTTGCGCCCACCAAAAAACAAATTGGCGCGGACCTTCTTTTGGCTGGCGTCACCAGCCATTTTTCGCTAGTAGGCTGAGCCCTGAAACTCGCGGCACGTTAACGGTCACATCGGAAATGGTTGGGCCACCCCTGCAAGCATAGTTGCCTCTCACTTTCAAGAGGATGCATGTTGCCCCCTGCCCTAATCAGTGGTGGTCACACAGTGGGGTTGGGCCCCAGGTGGGGGGCGCTGGCGAATGCATAGACTGAGCACTTTGCCAGCAGTTGTGTCTCGCCCCGGTTGACAACAGTGCCCCACACACCACACACACTGCACGCTTACACACACACACACACACACACGACGATTGTGTCATGCCATTGTGTCTTCACAGAAATACAGTTTGGTAACCGTTAGCATGCACACAACATAATCTTTGCCCAAACACTAAAAAGAGATGGTCACTTCCAACCTTTGCCCCACAAACTGTGACCCATTATTTTGCAATTCTCCCCCCCAACCCCTCCACCCCCTTATCGCTTGCCTGATATGCAGTTGAAATGCTATTTTAAAAAAACTGCAAACAACAGCCTGCTGTCCTGCTGGCATGTCAACAACATGCCATGCGTCGTCAATGTTTCAACAGAGTTGTTGTGGAAAGTATGTGTAATTACTGCTTGGATTGTCCCCGACGACATCACCCACCGCATTCTCTCTATTCATGTCCAACATGCAATGTTGGGCATCCTCTGCCTGCACTTGTAACTGAATTTCCTCCATTCTTCCCAGATGATGAGCAATACACGCAGCAGCATAAGGTGGAAAACACCTACTGTGTACAGTACCGAAAGACTATCGCCGCCACAATGAGTTGTTACAGACTAGATGATCTTGCAACAACTAAACACCATTACTTTGGACTTGACCCTGCCATCACCTACCCATAGAGAGGGAACATTGGATATGGAAACTCAAGAAACCTCCTCAATTCCGC